GGGGGGGGGTGGCCGTGATGGTAACACACGGTACAAAACACAGTTGTTATTCAGTAACTCTTTTTAAACACTAGAGCTGCCTTCCAGTACCTCTCTGACGACGAGGATTGTGCTGAATAACCTTCCATGAGTTATTTAGTAACCCGTATTCTTCCCTTTGGAGTACCTGTGACTAAGCTAACTTTCAGGACTGTGAAATTATGAAATAAATTATTACTCTTCTCTGTTTAAAAGTAAAAAAGTAGCTCATTATAACATCTTGCACCTCATCTTGAAGTCAGACTGAAAGCACAAGCACCTCAGTGCTCTGTGAGTTTCTACACAAGGCCTAGTGTAAAGAAATGTGTTTGACTGGTACGGCTCTAATGTAATGCAACGTTGTGATCAAAAAAGTTGAAGTGACGTTACCGTGTTGTCTTAAATTTTGTAGTGTGCAGTAGCATAGCTGATGTGTTCTTGAGCTCCTGTGTAGGGTGGTCCTATGAAGCAGTTTCAGTGTTCTCATTAAATTTTGCAATGCTAGAATTCTCCATTTAATTTCTGTTTATTTGTGTAACTGTGACATGGAATGATGCAGTAAATATATCTAAGAAAACCAACCATGTCAAAATTCATGTATTTTGCATTGTAGAGGAGCAAATGTAATATTGGAATTTGTGCTTTCATTGACAGCTCCATGATCCAATGCATTTAATAGAAAGTAACTATTTGCAAAGCAACTCTTACTGTCTTGTTTCTCCAAGATATTTTGGTCTTGTATATAAAAAGTGTAAAGCTTTAAGTTTAAGAAGCTCGTTTATTTATAAAGAGTGCAATCAGTTCTTAGTCACCTCTTCGCTGTGATAACTTTACTCTCCTTTACCTTAAAATCCTACTAAGTGGAGAGCAAATGCAGTATGTCAGCTCATAAAGGTAGCTGGCTAGAAGTGAGCCTTGGGAGACAGGCTTCCTTCCTTGCTCTGGAATACGTTTAGGCTTCTTCTGCAGTCTCCGTCTAGAATTATGGTGCTACGAACAGAATCATATCTGTATCAGAATCGAACATATCTGAACAGAATCGAATCTGTATCAGAAATAGTGTGGCCAGCAGGAGCAGGGAAGTGATAGTGCCCCTGTACTCGGCACTGGTGGGGCCGCACCTCGAATACTGTGTTCAGTTTTGGGCCCCTCACTACAAGAAGGACGTTGAGGTGTCTATAACAACAGTAAAAGTACAGTTTTGTTTGAATTTAAAGTATCTGCTGTTTTTCTGGGAGGTACCTGAAGCCTTTCTTACTGTAACTAAATATGACTCAAGATTTTTCCTGTTCTGGAGAAGACAGATTTTAGCCTGAAACTTTTCAGCTCCAGCATCAGACTTGGTTTCTGGTTTAATTCCAATGTGGTATCTACATAGGGCTTAACGACTGTGGGTTTTAAAGCCTCTTCTCCAGAGAAGTAGTGCATCGCAGTAGTGGCTGGAAGCCAAAGCAGCATACCGTTCACTGAGACAGACACGTGGGAGGACAAGCACAGAAGGGCTGTGAGAAGTACAAACCAGCAGCTCTAGCTGTGTAAGTCCTGGAAGCGTTTGAATACTGAACTATTTTCGTCAAGGAGAGCAGGCAGCTAGTGCCAGATCGGAGCAATGACAAATGAAACCAGATGCTTTCCTTGCCTTGCTGATGGATTGGAGCACTCCCTGACGGTAGTGGAAGCCATCTGCTCGCAGTGTCAAGCGTCAGTGAAGTCTTCGTTAGAAATTCTGTCAGAAACTTAGGCCTTCAGTCAGTGCAGCACAGCATGCCTGGTTTAGGACTTGGGATTTTCATTGATCAAGGTGCTATTTCTACATTAGGACACTGGCTCAGTGATCTTCCCTCTGCTTCATTCCAGCTTTTTCCATTCGTAGATGGACTATGTACTAACTGCATCATCATTTATCTTGGTATCATTTGTCTGCAAAATTTGGACAAACTTCGGCCTATCAGAAAGGGACATTGGCTGAAACTGAGCTCTTACACTGCATTATAAATAAGGAATACTGAAACTGGAGACATTTCAATCTTAATTCCTTTTAAGATTAAAAAGATTTAAGTCAACTCAGCTGATATGGTATGGAAACATGTAAGTTAAAAAAAACTTTCTAAAAAAATTAGAAAATTAGTAGGAATTATAATAAATATTATGCCCACATTTCACTTGTGACAGTCTAAAGGTCTAGTTGTAGGTGTAAATGTATATGCTGAACTTCAAAGTCTTAGTTGTAGATGTAAATACATATGCTGAACTTACTTACCCCAGTTTTGCATCTGCCTTCAGATTTTGAATATATTTCAGGTTTTGAATATAGTGTTACTAACTGAGGAAACTTGAAGAAAAGGTTTTAAAATACTGAATTGCAGTAACTTCTTGGTCTCAAAAATCCAGCTTCTTGTGTTGGTTACAGGGGGAAGCATGGTACCGTAGATCTACCGTAATTTTTTTGTTTAACACCTATGGGCTGGAATAAAAGTGTATATGCAAGTCATGATGCTGTAATACAGTGTGATACAGCCTTGGATACTTCTACCCAGGAGTACGAATTTCAGTTCAGGGAGGCCAGTCAGATTAGCATTTCCAGTGCTCATTTCAAAATACTGCTTTTTACTGAGGTTGCTCTAGCATAATGATTAATGAATTACTGTCAGTCTCGTTTCCATGTTGTGAGCTAACAAATACGCCTTCACAACTATGGTACACACAGTCAGAGCAGTTTTATGTTCCCTCTAATCTGGCTTTTCAGTCACAGATTAAAGCAAAAGGAAAATTGAAGAAGGATGTTGTCTCCTAAGCAATTCCCGAGAGCATAGCACGTATGGAAGTTTTGTTAAGCTGTCAGTTTAAATATTTATCTGCACTAGAAATACAAATTTTTCTAAGGCAACAATCTTCTGCTCAAAATTTATGGAAATGCCTAATGTGACAGTTGAATTACTATATTTTCCATCTTTTAATTTGCCTCACAGTCCAGAATTAAACAAGGCTTACTTTCAGTTTGATTCAGGGCAGTATTGAGTGTTGGTATTGTTGCCAGTAAGGTTTTTGTTCCTTTTTTGGTTATACAGATGAAACTCCTTTCTGCAACGCCTGGAAAAATTGTTTGTGAAATGAAAGTAGAGGAGGAGCATACAAACAGAGGTGGCACGTTACATGGAGGTTTGACAGCCACACTTGTGGATGTGGTGTCAACAACAGCGTTGCTGTACACAGAAAGAGCAGTGCCTGGGGTCAGTGTGGACATGAACATCACGTAGGTATTATCCACCATGTTTACCAGAACATACTAACTTTTCTTCCCCTAACACAGTATTGACTCCATTGTATGTCATTTCTAGGCTGTAGTACTCACTTAAAAAAGGTGTTTTCTTTGGTTTCAGAAGTCGTCTTGTGATAAATTAAGGGGGGATTGTTTTGGGGGATATTGCTATTTGGTTGCAAAATTTGAGTTGGACTTTCCTAAGCTTTTATTTGTTACACACGTTTAAGAGACAGTACCCATTCAGTCATAGAATGTAAAGGGATGTTGATATGTGGTAAATTTTAGTCTTACAAAATTGGCTCAGCTACTGTCTTTGCTTGTGAAGATATGTTAAGAGTGTGTCCTCAAACACCAAAATCTAGGGTAAGCAGCTTTCTGTAAACACTTTTTTAGTATTAGTCCATAAAATGTTAAAACAGGAGAAATACTAAACCAGGAAACAGTTTAGCTCTGTTGTATGCTCACATAGAGGGTGAATTACAGATTGAATCAGAATTTCCCACTGGAGGAAGACTCCTTTGCTCTAGGTCATTTAAAGGTGCTTTTATATTGAGAATAGTTCTTCCTGTAATGCAAATTTAAAGCACAGTGTCTTTTTTTTTAAAAAGAAAAAAGTTGTTCTGAAACCTTTGATCATGCTATTACAGTTTGTCAGCTTTGCTTCATTACTTTTAATGAAGAGATTATGACTGATTGGAACTAAAATAATCCTACTTGGAATAACTAACACAGAGCACTAAAAATCTTGGAAAAGTAACCCCTCATCAAAACTGTCTTAAAAAAAATTGAAAAAAGCTTCAAAAGTGTGTGGGGAGTGATCTGTATCTTTACCGGGTTCCCTCCTTTCCCCCCCCAGCACCCTCTGATTTCTCCACTGGGCGGGTGGGACTGGAGCATCTATGTAAGCTTTATACTACCACTGTGATGACCAGGAAATCGCTGGAAATGAAAACCTGAAATTCTCCTATGATTATGTTTTTTTCCCTTACAGTAGTATAACAAGAGGCCAACATCTGAATTATTTACACTATCAAATATGCCTACCCAATTACATAAGGGCTAAAATCTTAAGAAAGTGCTCTCTGTGGAGGTGATCCAAAATGATTGAGTAGCATAATCCTTAGGAAATGTTACCTGAAGCAATATTAATAGCTTTGTTTAAACCAGACTACTGCTTTCATTGAACAAGTGATATTGGATATCGAATACTGCTATAATACAACTTTTTCCTTTTTGGGAAGGAGCTTTTTAAAGGGTTGTCATGAGGAAGCTATTTCGGCAATGGAAAGAACAGAGGGAAGCAGAGAAACTTGTTTTTTTTAATCACAAGAGGATCAGCAGCAGCCTCTGAGAACGAAACAAACCTGAAGCCCTGTCCCCTGTCAACTAATGGGGCTTGTGCTACATCAGCATTAGGTGTGACTGACATACTTTTGACATGGTGTCATGTGTAAAAATGGACTGGCTGTTGAAATTTATCTCAGTAAGATTTATATCCAGCAATTATACATTCTCCTCTAACTCTTAACATTTGAATACTGTTCCCTTACCTCAGATCATGGTTGGGTCATGTTGCTCCTAATTCTCTCCAGGCGTTTTGTGGGGGACTTTCTTCCTATTCCCTGCAGAGTGTGTTCTAAAAGCACACCCTCCTACTCACATAAATAAAAACAGTTATCTAATGAATGGAAACAGCGTTAAACCTCGGAAGTTCGAAGGCCTCCCAGATTTCCATGACTTTTCTCTGACCAGGGTATGGGAAGCAGTTAACCTATGCTTAGGTTCCATACAGAAATGACCTTCTGAAGCCGTACTAACAGAGACATTTTGCAACGGAACCAGCCAGACTGGTTTAGAAAGGCTGTAGGGAGCCAGCAGCAGCTGGAATAGGACTTGGAGCTGAACTTTTAAGTGAGATCTTTGATAGCCAATTGTTTCTGTTCCAAAATGGAACAGAACTTGGTTCCTCAGAACCAAGCCAATGGGTTTCTTTCTATCCTCCCATTTTCTCAGAGAACTCTTAACACTGCATTACCACTGCAGTGCTTAGAGGAACTCAAGGACTTTTAAGAAGTGGGGATTTGCAAGCAGGCAGTTAGAGCGCGGTGTGTGTCTTTATTACTCACTTTTGCTAATTCCCTTTGTGATGATGTAAAATGCAGGAATATTCTTGGATTTGTGCAGCCTCTTACCTGTTAATTTTGTTCTTCATTGAAGATATACTTCTGCTGCTAAGATTGGAGAAGAGATACTGATTACAGCTCAGATTTTGAAGCAAGGAAGAAATATTGCATTTGCCAGCGTGGATTTAACAAATAAGGCGACAGGAAAGTTAATTGCACAAGGTAGACATACAAAGTATCTAGGAAATTAATATAAGGAAGTAATTTAAAAAATAATAATTGTTGGGCTTAAGAATCCCATAGAGAATGATTTTCTCATTTACGCAATAAGACATCATCTGTACAAAGTTCTGATAGTCTATATAAAGTGAATTTGTCTCGCTCCCATAATAAACAAACAAATTTCTTAATTACCACCAGAATTGCTACAAGCCTAAAATCAGTGCCTATTTTGTGATGAACAACAGAGTGTGATAGCATGGGGCTGCATCTGGCTTTTTTGACCACATTCTGGTCAAGATAGCAGAAGGGAAGAGCCTTTGGACCAGCCGTGTGGTTTACCGGCATGACAGTGTTTTAAGAGATCTCTGTTTTCTTTGCCTGTGGTGTCGTCATGCGACAAAGCAACCCTGTCTTCAGGCCCGTCACCATCACGTTGAAACAACACTATATATGCTTACCAACTAAACTACTTGCTCTGCAAGATGGCAGTACAGAGTTCCTGTAACAGTGTGTGAAACTGCTTTGAAAGTGTAAAGCAGGCTAATACAAAATGTAATTTTCTGATGCTGTAACAAATTCAAAAGTATTCAATAAAGCTTTCTGAAACTACCTTTTTAAAGATTATTTAATAGTTTTGTAATCTCTTTGCACCGAGTAAAAGCTTGCCAGCACAGAGTGGTTGAGAGAGGGTGCGGTGGAACCCTTGTACACAAACTCACCTGAGATTTCATCATCTCCCTGTGATTCCTGAATGTGAAAATGCAGTTACATCATTAGGGCTTTTCACCTCTACCCACCTGAAGTTCTGGCTATATTAGTTTAAAAATCATCAGCTGAGAGTTAGAGATGTATCAGAATAAATTTGGTGAGCCTTTCATCAGGCTAAGGCTGTAGATTGCCTGACTGGGGTTGAATGTGGTAGAGTTAAGCTGCTGTTCATCAGCTGAAGTCTCATCTCCGCATGCACTGTTGTGGACAGGTTTAACTGCTTTCTTCAAACTTAGGGCAAACAATCCTTGGCAAGGCGACCACACTAATAAAAACAGCGGTGCTACATATGCAGTGCAAGTTTACATAAACCATGACCTTAGGTTTTCTTCTCTAGTGGGAGATTTGAAAAATAAAGGGCATGCACAATTCTTTTTGTCATGGAAGTTGACTCATTGTCTTCAGTGATTTGAATTTTGTGATTAAATGTGCTGTTAGGGCTTTTTTTTGTGCATTCCTAAACCTAAAGAAATGATTTCCAATGAGTTAAGTAAGTGACCTGTTCACGCAGACTGATTTTCAGTATGAACAAGTTTGCTAATATATCAGCAGTCTTTCCAAAATGACTTTCAAACAAGTGATACAGCTGATGATAACTTACCCTTTAAGGAAGTTCTCTAACAAAATACCTACAGTGGGCTCAGGCTATCAGCATGTATTTTTGCTGCAAGTTTAGAACAGTCATTCGTGGTATATACATTCTCAACCAAAGCTTTTTCTCTGAGGCTGTCTCAGAAGCATACGTGGCTTATGTGCCTGTGGCTAGTTGAACTTTTTAATAGTAGTATCCTCTTTTCAGCAGTACATTCATAATTATTTTTTCCCCAGTGCTTGCACTCATGCTCAGAATCATCCCTGAATCCCATTTCTAGAAACACAATGCTTTGCTAAAGCAGTTCTGTGAAGATACGTATTACAGAGGCAACCTTTTTTGTTTTAAATCTTTGCCCAGCAGAACTATGTGCTTCACTGTATTAAATTGTTTTTCACTTCACAGCTTCCTCTGTCTGAGGCTGTATTATGAGTCTTAAGCATCTCCAGCTCCTCTACAATTACTAGGATGAGCAGACAGAGAGGATCCATCATAGCACGTGGACACACCTAGTGGTTTTAGCAATTGCTGTTATGGTTGTCTTCCTATTAACATGTTCTGGCATCTCCAGTCATCTTTTTTTCCTCAAAGTTTACCGTTTTTCTTCCATACGTTACCCATGTAGTAGAGTGCAAGGAAATAGAAGTGAGGATTAAAACCGCTCCCCCAACTACTATAAACCCACCCCCCGCACTGGAACACAAGAGTGATTTTGAGTATTGTCTGAAATAAAAGGCAGAGCGTGAGAATGAAGGAGGTGCCGAATTCAATACGTGCCAAAAGATTGAGAACGCTCTCAGCTCTGTGTGCTGGGGCAACTCCGTCCTTGTGTAACTGTCCCGCTGCAACTTAACGCGACTTCCCTCACTCAGAGCTGGCTGCCTCAGGAACCTACCGTAGCTAAGTAAGTGGTCTCATTCTATCACTTAGCATTCATCACATCTACATAATTACAATTGAAAAGTGTCCAGGCAAATTAAGAGTGGCAAACCTCAACATGGAAACAACAGTATCCTCCTGTTCCCGTTCCAGCCTGGCAGGGACTGTTGCAGGCTGAGGGGGAAACAGAAAAAAGACCCTTCCTGAAGTAACAAGTGAATTCTCTTCTCCTTTATAACAGACTGTTCAACACAGTATTTTAGCGCTGCCTAATTAATAAGAAAGAGGGACATCATTAATATGCAGGCCAGTTATTTTAGAAGTGGTTCATTAAACTGATTATTTTAAGACAACCTTGTCTGTTATCCCTCCACCAGCAGCAGCGTGTTGACCTCATAATTTATTTCACAACTTAACTTAGGCTTGGAGATGATCTTAGAAGGAATTGTCACCGTTGAGCTCGCTTAGCTTTGGGAGTAAACTGTCAAACATCAGACTTAATTTTTGGAAGTGTTCTTTACTGATTTCACCCTATGTGTTGAAAAATCTGTATCTATCTTACCGTAGATAGATAAATATGGAAAATAAGGACAAATGGTACATGTTCCACCTGGCATTGGAACAAATAGATCTCCTGTGGGGTTGACCTGGTTCTATCACCACAGATTTAGGCATAATTCCCTTACAAGCAAGCAAATAGTGACTTGATGATCTCATCTTGTGAGTCTTGTTAATATACCAGATTACATATCCAGTAACTGACAGACATCTGTAAGCTCCATATCTTACAGCTGCAAGTGAGACTGTCCCCTCCCATATTGTGCTGTTTGGGTTTCCCCCCCCCGATTTTTTCTTTTTTTTTTTTTTTAAACATCCCAAACACCTACACCACACTCTTTGATGCCTAGAGGTCTGCCCTTAGGGAAGGCCACACTTTTCGCATAGCGCTATGTAACATGGTGTGGAACAGTTTGTCTCTATCGGTGAGAGTAACCGCAGCTTCCCACTTCACACAACGTACTGGTCAGCCCAGTGTTTCATGCTGGTTTCACATCACTACTATTGCACAAGTGCATTCAGAGTGACACCCCGGTATTTGCACCACGGTTGAACCATGCACTACAAATCCCTTGGGAAAATCAGGAATTGGAACGGAATCATTCCCACTGGTGTTTAAGAGTCCAGATACTCATCAGGGCAAATACCGATCACAGATTAAGGTGCTGTGAGGAGGGATGTAGTCATTAAGGATTCCAGCTCTCAGGAAGAAGCAACTTGTCAGTGCCAAACCAGGGAAAGGAGAGGGTAAGGAAGGATAAGGCTTGTTTCAGCGGTGACAAAGAGTCAGGGCTCCTTGTTAGTCTTTTAGGTTGAGCCACCTGTCACGGGGGTCTCATGGCTGAGCTGCCTCACCTAGGTTACTCTGCCAATTTAATTACGAGCTAGTTGGTTTACAATTCTCAAATTGGCAAGCATTACCACCTAGAGGGGATGGGGGGGCAGGGAGAATTAAGCTGTTAAGTAACTATTCTGAACAACAGTTCAATTCTGTTCAGCTTCATTGACTGGCTCTGAGCCACCGCCAGGGCACACGGAAGAATTTCCAACTGTGTTTTATCACTAACCGTTTTAGAATTCTCTGTCTGCAGAAACCATTTAGCCAGTAGAAAGAAACCCCAAAACCTCTCCCTTACCTCATTGTCCATGGGAATGAAGAAAAAAGCACTTTGATTCCTATTTTGCTACTTAAGAGTTCAGGGACAACACGACGAGAGTTATCACCTTTGTGATTCTGTAATGCATTCACTGAATGACTGCCGTTACCAGATCCCCTGTCCCCAAGCTGCCATGGTTGTGGGACACTGCAGCATATACAGTTCTTGCCTGAACCAGAGCTAATTACCCACAAACTCTAATCAAACAAGACACATTGGTTGTTTTGGTTGTTTGGTTTTTTTTTTTCCCCTGGAGGATAGCCAATCAACCAACCCACTTTTGTTCACCAAAACAGTACCTGGGGCTGTACCACTGTAGTAAGATTCTGGATCTTTGATTTCCTTTGCTTAAAAGCAGTAGCTGCTTGAATAGATTTCAAGAGTCCAGAAACGCGGCTCGTAGAGTGGGTGCTCTAGCATACAGTAATTGTGCTCAAATTGAGGGACCCTTCCATACGAAAATCCTTTCCAGGCAGAACTAGGTCAGAGATATCTTCAGCCCTAAAAAGCATTTCAGCCAGCCATGCAGAAGAGAAATTACGCTTGCTTATCACGTAGCTTGCTTCAGTTAACCTGTAGAGCTGATGCACCCCTCCACGGCATCAGCGCCGTAGTCAGCCTCGTGAACTCCCAGCTGCGGTGCACAAACCAGAAAGCAGCACCTACTACTGTAGATGGAACCGCGGTTTCCTCCTTAGTATTCCTGACAGCAGAGTTCATCTGTACTCCAAGACCACCACAAGAAGGAAGATTTAAACACCGAACTAATACAAAGCACCCAGCCCCTGTGCACTACAGCAGGG